GCAGGATAAAGTTTAGCTTGTCCATTAGCCAACACATATGATTCCTGTCGTTGATTCTTCAAGTGAACTACGTGAAAAGACGTCGGCATAATTGTATATCGCATTTTTTTATATTTTTCTTCAATTTCCTTACAATTAGAAGACATGTCACCCATGCATCAATATGCTGTTTTACAAAAAAAGACATATATTAGTGAATTACATAAATTTTAAAAAAATAATCAAACTAAAATATAAGAAGAAATATAAGACTTACCCCCCCATCGAAATAGCCGTTGTCTTCAACCCCTAATAATACACCCCACCAAGACCGTTCAATCAACAAATGCATATCATCGTTAAGTTTGTATATATCAGCGTAACAACCTTGACTCCGCTCATGTAGACAAAAATCAACTGCGGTCTTAGTCCAAAGGGTATTATCCAAAATTGTTTCTGGTAGTTGTTTCCTCTCCACTTCATCTGCCGGAATGGTACTGGCCGGTAACTTATACGAAAGCCAACAGTCATCCATCATGTCCGACACGTGAGGGGGCTTCTCAATAATTCGATATATTACGCCGTGTGAATCGGGCTCTAGAATGTTGGGAGGGACCTCTTCAACGATGACAGTGGCCTCTTGAACGATGGGAGGGGACTCTTGAGGGATGATAGGGGCCTCTTGAACGATAGGGGAGGCCTCTTGAACGATGATAGGTGAGTCGGGTTTTTTCTTACGGATTCTCTGCACTATTGGGGTGAACGGAGACGTAATGGCACGTGCACGCCGTCTGATGCGTGAACTCCGTCTTGCAAGAAAAACCCGACGTAGAGCATCCACCTTAGCGGGCCGCTAAAAATAAATTAATACATAAATCAGTAAATAAACAGACATGATATTAAACAGTGAAAACAAAGACAAATATATTTCAAACTTGCACGGTATTCACCCAAGTCATTATTATATCATTGTTCACAAAATGCATCAGATAACATTCAAGAAGTAAGCACTTATATAAACATTTAAAAGGACAACATATAGGTTTAGTGCAGGTTCAATGACAACATAAAGAGTAGTAGTTTATTCTTGAAACTTAAATTTTCAACACTGTGAAGTTAGCATTTGTCTTTTGGTTGAAGTAATGCAATTTATTCAAGTTTCATTTTGCAGAAGAAGAATAGAATCTGAAACTTAAAATCGCAACGCGAAAATGACTATCGCAACGAGAGAATCGCAATGCGAAATGAAAATCGCAACAACAAAATCGCAACGCGAAAATGACTATCGCAATGCGAAAATGACTATCGCAATGCAAAAATGACTATCGCAACGAGAGAACCGCAATGCGATTTTCATTTCGCATTGCGATTCTTTCATTGCGATAGTCAAATTCGCGTTGCGATAGTCATTTTCGTATTGCGATAGTCATTTTCGCATTGCGATAGTCATTTTTGCATTGCGATTTTGTTGTTACGATTTTCATTTCGCATTGCGATTCTCTCGTTGCGATAGTCATTTTCGCATTGCGATAGTAAACTATTCTTCTTCTGTAAATTGAAACTTGAATGGATTGCATTACTTCAACCAAAAGACAACCAAAAACAAATACTAACTTCACAAGGTTAAAGAATAAACAGTTAAACAGTATTGGCAACAATCGAATGAATTTACTAAGCAATCTAAGTGAAATTACGAGTAAATTTATCATCAAGTTAAATATGAAAAATATTAAACTTACCTCGTTGCGTAGAGTATGAACCTCGTTCTGCAACGATGCTACAATCTCACGTAGAGCTGCTACCTCACCACATAAAGTAGATACCTCAACACGCCATGCACCATTGTCATCGCGTAAAGTACCGACCTCCTCACGTAAGGCATTGACCTCATTACGTAACTCCCTTAACTCATCCCGTGGAGGTTGAGAACAGGGAGATAAACGTCGTGGCATCTTTGTCGGTCGCCTATCATGAGATGATGGTGGAGAAGAGGCTCGATGATGTGACAGAATATGTGATGACTCTCGTTGTGGAGGTGTATATTCGGGTCGATCAGGTGATGGCTCTGGGTGAGGTGATGGCTCTCGAAGTGGTGGCTACTCATCCTCTGTGCCATCAAAAAAAAGCTTACTAGCTTGCCACCAATCAATGGCAAGCTCAGCTTCCGTGGGTGTCAGCCTCTGTAATGGAGTGTTGGCCTCCTAACAATATAAAAGCTCAAACAAAGTTAAACGTATACTAGTAATAACTTGTTTATAAAGATATGGTAGTATTTGTGTTAACTTACATTATTTATTGTAGTATACGGTAGTAAATCTTTCCATTACTGCAAGGACCGTTTCCTCTTCCAGGAAATAGCCCTAGAAATATCATTAGAAGTTTTTCATGCATATGTCTGCATGGCGGGAAATGCCTCAAATATCCAAATCTACAAACAATATAATAACAAACATTAGTAATTGTTAAAGAATTAATTATAATTTTGGAAACATTATATAAAAATTATTACCTTAAAGGCCCAAATAAAGCCTGACAAAGTGTATTTGGAACCATCGCCACGCAAACTTTTCCAATCATTAAAGGCAGACGACAACTTATTCCATGTAGCTCTCCATAGATACGAACCCCACGGAAATAGGTTCCACGCATTTAGGTCCTCTACCAATTTAATTAGATCATTAGGAATAGGTTGTCGGGCATCTCTGCCTAAAAAACTGGCTTGCAAAAGTATTAGAAGGCATACTCGGACAACATCGACGTCATCCATCCGAGTAAAACCATCTTTCTTATTCAATAATCTCGTCAAGTCTTCTACGTGTAAATTCGACTTCTCCGTTGACAGCTCAGGAAAAACCCGGGAAAACCATGATAGGCGAGTAATATGTCTAGTGTACCGATCTACATCATCGTGTCCGAAGCGTAGACCGGTGATTAAGCAAAACTCCTCCCGCACAAAACACGTATACGCTGGTGGAAAATCAAACCATATCTCTTCATCACGACGTTGTATAGTCTCTGGTAGATCGCTAGTCATGGTTTGAAGAAACAGATGGGTCAACATAGCATCTCCACCTGGATGTTGTACTTTCAGCCATGGCCCGAAGCAAGTATCCTCAAATATTTTTCTTTGTACATGTGAAAGCTTCGACACAATTGTTTTGGCCAGGCTTACTTTATTTCTTAAGGTCAATTGAGCCGAATAAAAGTTCTGCAAAAAACATAAACATACTAATTTAGATATACCAAAAACTACACTGTGAAGATATGAACAATAAACATAAAGAGTAGTAGTTTATTCTTCAAACTTAAATTTGCAACACTGTGAATTTAGTATTTGTTTTTTGGTTGAAGTAATGCAATTCATTCAAGTTTCAATTTGCAGAAGAAGAATAGTTTCTGAAACTTTAAATCGCAACACGAAAATGAAAATCGCAACACGAAAATGACTATCGCAACGCGAATTTGACTATCGCAGAGCAATAATCGCAACGCGAAATGAAAATCGCAACGACAGAATCACATTGCGATAGTCATTCTCGGTTTCAAATACTAAAATTGAAATAAACTTGAATGGATTGCATTACTTCAACCAAAGACAAAACAAAGACAAATACTAACTTCACAGGGTTAAAGACTAAACAGTTTAGCAGTATTGGCAGCAATCGAATGAATATAATAAGCAATCTAAGTGAAATGGTTAATCTATTATTGAAAACACCAGTAAACTTATCATCAATTTCAATATGAAAAACCTAATAATAATGCAAAAATTTCAAAATAAAAATAATTAAAAAAACTAACCCTCGGTGGTTGATTTGGTTGATTTTCCATTTCTGACCGTGAATGATTTCGCCGGAGATGGAGACTGATATCGTCGGCGATGGGGACTGATTTCGTCAGAGATGGGGACGGATGTCGCCTTAGAGAGTGAGAGATAGAGATGAGACTGAGTTGTGATTTAGGGTTTTAGGTTATGAGTTGCGGTTACGGGATATACTGTGGACGGTTCAGTGTTCTGATATATTAATATATTCGTGTTTGGAATTTGAAAAAAAAATACGCTGGATACGAATGGCGCTATGTAAATCGCATTGCGATAGTCATATTCGCATTTCGATTTACATATCCGCTTTGCGATTTACGTATCCGCATTGCGATTTTCCAAATTCGCGTTGCGATTTACGTATTCGCATTGCGAATTAGGAAAATCGCAACGCGAATTTGGGAAATCGCAATGCGATAGTCAGAATCGCGTTGCGAATCTGGAAACTGATTTGCGATACCGGAGATCGCGTTACGAATTATCGATCGCATTGCGATTTAGTTAGTCATTTTGGCAAATCAAAACAAAGTTGGTTAAAATCGTATATTATAAGGCATTTTTGGTCACTGAGGTTATTTTCTCTTTTATTAATATGATATTATCTAACGATCACATGTTAATATCATTAATAAACTTATAACGATAAAGTATAAAATTAAAAGTTAAACTACATGTTAAATATAATATGAAAAAAATAAAATTTAAATATTAAAATGAAATGAAATTAATAATTTAAATATTAAATGTGTAGTTTATCTCATATATTAATTAAAAAATAGGGTAAATTACAAATTTCACCACTGAGATTTACTCTCTCTCTTATTTTGCTCGCTAAATTTTAAAAGTTTTTTATTTCTTCACTAAATTTAATATACTAAGTTTTTTGGTCACTGAATTTTATTTTCTCTCTTATTTTAGTGACGATGCTGTTAAATAATTAAAAACATTAAAAATGATGCCTTTTTTTAAATGTCACCAAAACGACTTCGTTTTGCTTCAATATATCAACTCATTTTAATGCCGTCAACTATTTAAAGGCCGAGTAAAAAATCAATTGTAATAAATTTAGTGAAAATTTGAAAAGATTTAAAATACAATAAATAAAATAAAAGATAAAGTAAAATTAAGTTACCAAATTTGCAATTTAACCTAAAAATATACAATCATATGATTATTTTAAACAATATCGTTATCTCGTTTCTCAAAAATTATCATCTCGTACGGACGAACAAACTGCCGTTGACGGAGTCGTCGAAGCCAACGTAACGGCATTGGACGGTGTTCACCGGATGGATCGTCGCCGGTGTCAACGAGCTGTTGTCCGCATGGATATGGTTTGTCGTCCGATGGTACGGACCGAGCCATTTGTTTTGCATGTAACGGTTTTTTCTCCATGGAGGGAGGGATAATTGTCTGCTCTTTAACGATCTTTTCGCCGAATCGGTCATGATCTTTACCGTCTTTTTCAATTCCTCGATTTTCCCCACGAAATCCCTAGGCAAACACTTCAATAGCCTCAAGTAATCGCTCGTCGGCCTCGCGATCTCGAATTCGGAGACGAAATCGATATCAACGAAGTACCTGTTATGCCGCGTCGGTGATACTGATTGCACCACGTCGATGAACTCGTAGTTTCCGGCGGTTAGGCCACCAGAGGAACTCCATTTCGTCTTGCAGATCGCCGCATTGTGGCCAACCTTGCGAAGATAAGCCATCACTTTACGCCTGAAAATAGCTTTATCCGTCCTGAAAAGGGAAAGCATTTCTATTGCATTCGAAACGTCAACCAATAGCAGATTCCTGTAAGAATCGGTGCTGTTAAGAGAGATTGACTTGATAATGATCTCGAGCGAGTCAGTAGCATCAAGGTTTGAGTCGAGAGGGTCCGAGTCGGAGTCGTATCCGGTTTGTTCAGCAGCCTCGCGGTCATCTTCCAAGAAACTATGAACGAGTTCCGAGAGGCCGCAGGGAGCGTCATCTTCGGAGGCTGCAGATCGTTCGGATCCGCTGCTGGCCGAACAGACGCCGACAAGTTGCGCCTTGACTCTGTCGTCGAGCGGGTCAGTAACTCGTTTTACTCTTCTAGGGAAGCTAGCCATTACTTTTCTTTTTCTTTTTCTCTATGTTCCTTTTTTGTGTTTGAATAGGGTTTGGTTTGAGCTAAATAGGAGATGATGAGGTGAAGGTAAGAGCCGAGTAATATCCGAATCGTTTCCAAACAAATCCCTTAATACATTAATTTAGGCAAACAAAAGATCAAGAAGAAATCATTTAAAAAAATAAAAAATAAAAAATAAAAAGTTGGGAAGTGGAAATAGTAGAGGGGTAAATTGAATGATTACTCATTGAACTTTACTTTCTTTCCTATTTCACTCACTGTACTTTCATATTTTTTTTCAATTTGCTCACTGAACTTTAGATATTGAACTTTTGTTGTTACTTGACCGTTAAATTTCTAAAGTCGTTATAACGTTGCTAAATTAAAATTGAAAAAAAAGTATAGTGAGTGAAATAGGAAAATGTAAAGTTCAATGAGTAAATGTGTGTTATATTTTATTATTAAAATAAGCCACATAAGTACCCTATTACTGAGTAAATGGTCGAGTGATCAAAAAAGTTCAATGTCTAAAGTTTAGTGAGCAAATTGAAAATATTGACAGTACTGTGATTGAAATAAGAGATAGTAAAGTTCAGTGATTAATTGTGTAATTTACCCTAAGAGAGAAGTGTTTGCGTTAGAAGTTTGATAAGCGGAGGAGTACAAGATTAAATTTAAATGCGGGTAAATTATATAAATAGTCATTAGTGTTAGACTAATTTTTTGTTTTTCATACTAAAGTTGTAAAACTAACAATTTGATCATTAATATTGTTGATTTAACTTCAAATCGTTAGACTCCCTATTGACCAATACTTCAATGCTTTTTATTTTAGTTCGTATGAAGTCCATGAACAAATCGGCCATTATATTTTCTTATTAAAAGATGCTTGCTAATTAAGATATCAGTTTCTCATTCACCAATTTTTCATGAGTTTTTATTTTTATTTTTATGTCTCTAAAAAATTTTATGGAGGAAAAAAAAGAATTAAGAAAATTATTTCTTTTTTTACAATGTTGAATGTCTATTCATCTTTCTAAAAGGATTTCCCCTCTCACCGTTTTTTCAATTCAAATATCATATTCTTCTTCCTTTGATTTCATTTCTATTTTCCTCAGAAAATAGAGAAAAAAAATCATTTGGGTGTATTTAATTTTATCTTTTTCCTAGTAGAGTTTCAAATCTCAGTGTCTCTGCAATTCAATTCTTTTCTCCATTTGATTAATCCAGATTCTCATCTGGGGGTCTTTACTTTTATTTTATTTTTCTGATAACATTTCTATTTTTTGTCTTATAAATCATTAAATTATATTCACCGCTTGTTATTCTAAATATAGAAGAAAGTTTCAGTTTTTCCCTCTCCATGTCGGGCACCATATTGACATGTCCCAAGAAATTACATAATGGACGTGGGATAGCTCCTGTGCGACAAATTAAAAAACGGTTAAAATAAGATGTTATCGGTTTTGTTATTGTGTTAAATAATAAAACCGGTAAAAAATACCGAAAACATTATTAGGCGCTATCGATTTTATTATTATTTGGTGTTTTTACCGGATTTTCGAAAAAAAATATCGGAAACATTATTAGGCTTAAAAATAACCGAATTAACCTAATATTTTAGGTAATTACCAGAAAATTTTAGATAATTTTTACTGATTTTATTATTTAAACGATAACATTTTTATTTTAACCGTTTTTAAGCCTGTCACTGTAGAACTTCCCAATGAACGTTCATTGTCTGACACATTCTGTCTATTTTTGTTCATAGACGACATAATAACTGAAATGAAAAGTATTAAATATCGGTAAACAGAGAAATTACATGCTCTTGAACGTGACAGTCAACATTGCTAGGTAAGGGGTCAGTGGCTGCATAAAATTTCCGTCGTCTATATTAATGAATATTAACATCGAGTGATTAATTTATTACAAATCAATAATACTAGTGATTAAATATTATTTTTAAAATTTCAGTGAGAAAAATAAACTTTTCAAACATTAATAACCATTTTGCGTAATTTGTCCTTTAAATAAGGCAAGACAGAAGGATATCGATAGCAATTAGCCAGCCAATTGACATCCAACCTACACAAGGTTTATTGGGTTATATCATGTGGTGACGTGTGCCTACGTTATTCGGTGAACTGCTTTATTCATTCGTGTTCAAGGGAATTGCTCGAAATTAGAGATTGTCTCGTACTCAAATCTGCCCAACTCAATTTGTTTCAAGAAAAATCTTTACAGATAGAATCTGCCCAACCATATTAAATAACAAAGGCCTAATTCAAGTTTTAATCCCTCTCTTAGGTAGAATTTGCTATTTAATCTACACAATTTAATTCATTGTATTTATAATATTATTAGTAGATCAAAGATGAGAATTTAATTATAGTCATTAAAGTTAAAATCAAAGATAAACTAAGAGATAACTTCTCTTAAAATCTTAAAGTATTATATATTTTAATGAATAAAATTATAAATGAGTAAATGATAAAGATCAAGTAGGTGGAGTGGATGAGGTTGGTTGAGTATAAATGAAGATGGGACAGTAACGTAGAAAGGTAAGGGATTTTGCGTACGCAGGGTGACTCTTCATGGAACGGAAGGATCCGTAAAACTCAACTCCGTTCGAAATTGGAGTATGCCCATTCAGGCTTTCCATTATTTTCAAACACCGTTGAACCAACTAGTTAAAAGAGTTATTTGTTATTAGAGGTTACGGGTTCGAACATCAATAATTGTAGTAAAGTTATTGAACGATTATTATAAAATATGATTGAAATTATTTAAAACTAATAATGCTTTGTAATCACTTTCGTTTAGTATCAATCTTTTCCCCCTCTATGACATTTGATTACTAATTTTATATCAATTTGAAATTTTAGAATTAACATTGCTGGCAGCTGCTGGGTATAGTGTGTTAGGTCAAATGAACTGAACATTAAGATTAAGGGCTCTTGCCTGTTCCATTTTTTGGAATTAAACCATTGCATTTCTTGAAAAGAATGAAATCTTCCCATCTGAACACCAAAATTTGCTTTAGAACTCAGTTGCCATTGATCCTCTCCACAACAGTTATAAGCCCTGTGTACCAAGCTTCCCATCACCATTAGCCACCATTGATGAAAAAAACCGTACACACAAAACAGCCCAGGGTAAAACCACCACTCTCTCATCCTCATCTTCCTTAACAACATCCCCTCCAACCCCAAATTATTCACCATGTACTCCACGAACCCACCCGACTTAAAATCCCTGGCAATCATTCTCCCATCAAACAGCTCCATCGCCATTAACCCAACTGCTCCTCCCCTAATCGCCCCCATAAACTTCCTCAAATCCAGCTCTGCTTTCTCAGTTAAAAATTAAAATCATCTCTTCACTTAATATCCATTGGTCAGTTTCGAATTCAAGTGATTTCGATTTCAGAGGGCATGTTTCCTTTGAGGTAGATGTGTAGCCTTAATGCTTGTATTGCGCTTTGTGTTTGGTAACTTAGAATTATGAACTTCGGGTGTCAAATTTTTCGATTTGGTGTTATCGTGAGATAAGCATTTAGTATTGTTTTACATTTTCAGTTAGAATAAATTATGGGTTTAAGAAGAAGAAGACCTTCGAGTTTCACATGTGGATTTTCTTTAATTGCCAAGAAGAAGAAGAAGAAGAAGACCTACCGAACCCAAATATGTATTTGACAGTACCCAACACTATCCTTTACGCTGTACCCTTGTTTTGTCTAAGTTGAAAGAATAACTTTATTTTAATTTATGTTATTTTAGTTTAACAAAGTAAAATAAATTGGTGGAAAATTAATATATTAAATTATAATAAAATAAATTAAAGTTAGTCCTCCAATCGAATGGTGACACGTGGCACGACACATGACACCAGTGACACGTGACATCATTCGATTAAAGGATTAAATTTATTAAATGTATGACTAAATTGAGAGAATAATAAATAATAGGGACTAATTGAATGATTATCTCAAAATATCATGTCATTTAATCTGTAAATTGTTAACAACAATTAACCCGTGGTGACCACATCTTAAATAAATAAAAACAAAAGTAATCATATCTTAATTAAATAAAAACGAATGTAATCATATCTTGTGTATTTTGAAATCAGTGACCAAAAGTGGACAAAATACAAACATAAGTGATCATCGTTGAGTTAACCCGAAATAATACAAAGATTAAGATTAGGGTCAAAACCTTATAAAGATATTTTTACGAGTTTTTCTTTTTAAAATCATGCAATAGAACGATTATTTTTTTTCGTCGTAGGTGATTTTGTTAAACAGTAAAAAATGACTTTTAATTTTATAGATGAGAATAGAAACTTTCAACTTGTTATTGAGACGTGGGTCGTACTGCCCCCATAGAGTCAGAGACGTACGATTCCAACTTGTTGGGGCAATGGATCCAAACTAGATAAATCCATATTTGTAAAAATTGCTACAACCACTAAATTGGGTTTATCTTCTCCTTCAATGCCCACTTCTCAATCAAACACCACGCCATTGTTACCCCTAAATTGGGCCTTCACCTTAGATCATTAAGACCCACACCAATCGAAGCTGTTTTCATTGGAATACGAGAGATAACTAGTGTTGACTTTGCCTCTTTTTTTTAAAAAAAAATAAGGAAGGGTGCTGGTTCAATCCCTCCTATGGCCGCCGCTGGTTTTGGACAACGCACCGCCCATTTCATTTTATATTCTTAAACAAACCATCATATTCTAATTTTTTAATACCAGCACATAAACTATGGCATTATCATACTTCTAGACTTGTTAAAATATCCAAAAGCAAGAAAAGGAAGGCACTCAACCACCAATGCTTCTTCACCTTCAGTTCAAGCTTTCCCTAAGCAAATATCATTTCTTTTCTTTTTTTCCCCAGAACTTTAACCTTTCTTGTGGGGTTAGAATTTTAAAAATCAAAAGAGTTTCATTTTATTTTGCTAATGGCATGCCAATTACAAGACAAGAAACGGAAAAACCGGAAAGAGAATATAACAAAAAAA